AGTTTCCATACTGTTTTCCAAGGAATCTCCATACTGCTTTCCATTTTATATTCTCACCAGTAACGTGCAAGTTTCTAATTTCTCCACATACTTGCCAACACTTGTTATTTATTTTTTTTTAGTAATAGTCAATCCCATGAGAATAAAGTGGACACTCACAATAATTTTGATATACATTTCCTTAATGATTAGTGATGATGAACCTTATTTGACCTTTTAAAGTCTAATTCAAATCACCACTTTTACTTTTTCCTAGACAGGGAAAAGACCTTAGAATCTTTGAGCTCCATTTTCCCTCTTTCTGCTTTCTGTGCTATCATCATATGATTGACTTCTAGATGTGCTTTAAATCCCTCAAGGTATTTTTATTATTTCATTCTGTCAGTATTKATTTATATTTTCTGACACATTTATACTTTCCATTGTTTGTAAATTGTTCCCTTGTTTATAAATTTGTCTTAGATAATTTTTTCCTCTGCATTAAGAATATCCTTTAGCATTGTCTGCTGGTTTCTTGGCATGCATGTGCCTGTGTGTAGGGTGTGTGTGTGAAATGTTCTTATTTCACATTTGTTTTTTAGGTTATCATTATCAGATATAGAATTCTAGCTTGGCAGGTTTTCCCTATCACTTTGAAAATATCATTTTACTGTTTTATAACTTCCATTTTTTCCATCATGAGTCCATCATCAGTCCTATTATTGCTCTCCTGCAGATATATGGGTTTATTTAACTTCTTTAAAGCTCTCCTTTCTTGTGGATTTGATATTTAGCAGTTATATTACAATGTACTTAGGTGTCATTTTCTTTTATTTATCCTCCCAAGGAATCTTAGCATTTATTGAACCTGTTTTTTTTCAACAGTTTTAGAAAATCCTCAGTCACTATCTTTTTAAATGTAGTCATTCTGGCCATTTTCCTCTTCTGGAGGCAGCCTGCTCCATCCATGTACCTCAGAGCATGACTTTAATTTTTACTAATAAACTGTTTCTATTACTTTAATTTTTAAATTTGTTTTAATTAGTTATACATGACAGTATAATGCATTTATGCACTTGATATATCATACATAGATAGGATATAATTTCTCATTTTTTCTGAGTGTACATGTTGTAGAATCATATTGGTCATATATATATATATATATATATATATATATATATATATATATATATATAGTAATAATGTCTGTTTCATTCTACTATCCTTCTTATCCCCACATCCACTTTCCTCCCCTCCATTCACTTCCCTCTACTTAATATAAGGTAACTCTATTCTTCTCTAGCGTCCCCTCTGCCTTATTGTGAATTAGCATCCACATATTTAGAGAAAATATTTGGCCTTTGGTTTTTTSGGATTGGCTTTTTCACTTAGCATGATATTCTCCAATGCCAAAATTTCATTCTTCTTTAAAGCTGAGTAATATTCCATTGAATATGTATACTGGCATTTTCTTATCCATTCACTTATCAAAGGACACCTAGGTTGGTTCCATAGTTCAGCTATTGTTCATTGAGCTGCTACAAACACTGATGTGGCTGCATACTGTWGTATGTTGATTTTAAGTCCTTTGGGTATAGAAGGAGGAGTGGGATAGCTGGGTCAAAYGGTGATTCCATTCCAAGTTTTCTKAGGAATCTCCATACTGCTTTTCATAGTGATTGTACCACTTTGCAGTTCTACCAGCAATGTATGAATGTGCCTTTCCCCCCACATCCTTGCCAACACTTATTGTTGCCTATATTCTTGATAACTGACATTCTGACTAGAGTGAGATGAAATATGAGTAGTTTGATTTGCATTTCTCTAATTACTAGAGTTTTTGAACATTTTTTCATGTATTTGTTAATTGACTATGTATCTTCTTCTGAGAAGTGAGAAAGAGTAATTCTTATAAAACTTCAATCACTTCAGTCTCTCATTGGAGAACTTCCCTTAGTTTTACTGCCTGCCAGATGTTAAATTAAACCTCTTCTGGAGAACATAATCTCATGTAGAATATTTTTAATTTTCACCCAAAATGCCTGGTATTAAATAAAAACATTACCAGGTATACCAACAAACAGAACTAACAAAAAGGACAGACAATTGAAAAATTCACAGCTAAAGTAGGTATTGAGATAGAGAATTTACCAGATAACTGAAGTGCGAGAAATAATCAACTGTTGATGTTAGAATTGAAAACCATATTATTTGAAGTTGAAAATTAATATGCTGATAGCATATTGAACACAAATGAAGAAGAGATAAGGAAAATAATAGGGATAATAAAAGAATACTATGAATGACTACAGAATGTAATGGTTAATTTTACATTAACTGTAAGACTGGAACTTACATAAGGAAACCTCCTGATTTTCAAATATTGAGACAGACTGAATTATTTGCTTTTCTGAATCTCCAGCTTACAGGTGGCCTACCATGGAACATTTTGGTTTCATAATCAGGTGAGACAGTTCCCCTAATAAATCTCATTTTCTAAATCTCTCCCTTCATTTCTCTCTCTCTCTCTCTCTCTCTCTCTCTCTCTCTCTCAAGAAAATAGACACTAAAATTATATGCAATATATTCCAGGAAATAGGAGAACACTTATTTTATTGATTCTTTTTTAGTTWTATGTGAAAGTAGAGTCCATTTTGATAAAATTATACATGCATAGAATGTATCTTATTCTAATTAGGGACCCAGTCTTTGGATATACATTATGGTGGGATTTATTGTGCTGTATTCATAAATGTACATAGGAAAGTCATATCAGATTCATTCCACTGTCTTCACTATTCTTATCCTCCTCTCTTCCCTTAATTTCCCTTTGTCTAATCATCTGAATTTCTATTCTTATCCCATCTCTTATTGTGGGTTAGCTTCCATATATCAGAGAAAACATTTGCCCTTTGGTTTTTGGAGATTGGCTTAATACACTTAGCATTATAATCTCCATCCATTTACTGGCAAATGTCATAAAGTCATTCTTCTTATGGCTGAGTAATATTCCATTGTGTATATATACCACAATTCTTTATCCATTCATCTATTGAAGAACACCAAGGTTGATTTCATAGCTTAGTATTGTGAATTATGCAGCTATGAACATTGATTTTGCTGCATCACTGTAGTATGCTGATTTTAAATCCTTTGGATATATACTGAGGAGTGGGACAACTGGATCAAATGGTAGTTCCAAGTTTTCTGAGGAATCTCCATATTGCTCTCCAAAATGGTTTTACTAATTTGCAGTTCCACCAACAATGTATGAGTGTATCCTTTTCCTACACATCCTCACCAACATTTATCKTTACTTATATTCTTGATAAGTGATAGAGTMGTTGAACATTTTTTCATATATTTGTTGACTGTTTATATTGGGTTATTTATTTGTGTTAAGCTTTTTGAGTTTTTATATATCCTGGAAATTAACACCCTAGTTGAGGTACAGGTGTCAAAGACTTTCTTCCATTCTGAAGGCAGATTAGGTTCATAAGTTAGAAATATTTATGAACCATGACAAATGAGGTCCATTCCTGAAATATAAAGCTTGTTCAATGTTTGAAAATAAATGTCACCCATCATATTGATAGGCTAAAAAATAAAAATAATTTGCAATCTGCATTTGGGGTAAAAATTGGGAGTTCATAACCCACTTCAATCTAATGTATGAAATATGATATGTCAAGAGCTTTGTAATGTTGTGAACAACCAATAAAAAATTAATATTTAAATAATAAAAAATTTAATTATATAAATCTATTCAGAAAAACTTTTGAGAAAACAAAATATATATTCATGATTAAAACTCTGAAAAACAGGAATAAATTTAACTCTCTAAATACTTATTGCAGAAAGACAGCATACTGTCTRAGATTAGGAACAAGGAAAAATTTCCACTCTCACCAACAATTCAACATAGTGAAGGAAGTTCTATTTAGTACAATAAAACATGAACAGAAAAATAAAAGGCATATAGATTATAAAGGGAGAAATACAACTGCTCTTATTAGCAGATGACATGACTATCTACATTTTTCTACAACTAATATCAACTAATCATCAGGGTAACAGCATAAATGATAAATAAGTAAGAATAAAAYGTATTTCATTATAATAGAATAAGTGTACAGACATAAACTTTAAAATATTATAGCATTTACATTCATCCAAAAAATGAAATATTTAGATATAAATCTCTTTTATTTTTGCTAGAGATGATGAACATTTGATAATGATATTCACACTACTCAAATATTTTCATTGATTTGGAACTGAAATTTCCCACTTGTGAAAAAAGGAAAATTGAGAGCTTGATTGAATAATTATTAGACTCAAAATATTTTAATATTCTTAAATGTTATTGTATTTGCTCAAAGTCAAGTTTATCAAATTGTTACTCCCAATGTTTCAATAATAATATCTGTACAAATATCACTATAGCTTACAAAGGGAAAAAACTGAAGGAGAGAGAAAAAACCCACAAAATAGGCTGACTAACCTGCAGGCTGTTTGTTAACCTAAAGGAGCACTGTCCATCAAATAGCACTTAAAGAAAAATATAATATTTAGGAGGAAACACTTACATTTGAAAGAAAGGAGTCTTTATGTTCAGAGGGATAACATGACATGGTAAGGGGTGAGTTTGTAGATGCAAGGTAGGTCAAGTTAAAGTCAAGTCTACTACTAACAGTCTCTTTCTCTCATATACATACACATATGGCAAAGTACACATATGTATACATATGTATATATGTACTTTGACATCTTTTACTTTTTATTAGAAATGAACAACAAATKCCTGTAGACAGCCCACAGCCAAAGTGCATTCACTAACAATTTTTTCAAGACCAATAGCCTTCAAGAGGGCATTTGTAGAGTTAAATTGCTTTTATGATATTAGTGACTAGCAAGAAAAGAATGGAGGAAGTAGTCAAATATTATAGTTAAGATTCTTCTTTGGAAGTGATACAGCAGATCATCTAAGAGAATTTATTTTTCTTAACAGGCCTTACCTGATACTTCCTTAAGTTTGTGATTTTTAGATTTTAGCATACTCTCAAGATGTTCTAACAGACTTGTAGTCAAATTAGAACTTCCAGAAATATAAAAAGGCACAATGGTTTGACCATATTGATCCAAATCCATTTGCCTGGCCATTTCATCATGATGTACAAGGTAATTGGACTGAAAGAAAACAAATGTGGAAACTACAAGTCCCAGAATCTGTATCAACGTTATCTTCCAGTTGCGCCAACTGAATATCAACTTTTTCATGAACATGGAATGGAACTGCTGACAGTAGAGGGATATCTAAAGAAAATATACACATAATATTACAGTAGTCATAGACCTAACCAGATCATTAATATTGAAGTTCACTAAGATTGATGCTTAGAAAATTTATGACAAAACAGTTTTATATCATAAATACCATGACAGTAGAAACATATAAAGTTTGTATAAACATTTGAAAAAGAACCTAAGCATAATATTATAGTACACAATAATATGATCAATCTTTTGTTTGTATAAGGCTGAGGACAACGAACTATGGGCTGTTTTTGTAAACATTTTATTGGAACACAAGCTATGCCCATTTATTCCTGTATTACCATAGTTGCTATAATTACTCTGACTACAATGCCCATAAGGCCTTCAACATTTTTATTTCTTTACATTGAGTTTGCTGACTTCTGCTACAAGATAGTCAAGAAAATTCTTAAGGTTAAATGTCTTACTGTAACACTTAAGATCTCAACAGGATGATTTTTCTCAGATTTCTGATACCATGAAAATGAGCATGTTTCATAGAAGGAAAAGACAAATTAGAAAGGCAATGAAAGAAATCTTTGGCAACTCAAAAGACCCATACTGAGGATTGTACTGATTGAGGAATGGTTTCCTACCTTGTAACAATGCCCTCTGCAAAACTTGAAATAGTTGTATAGGGTTAACTATTAAAAAATAATGCTCACTATTAAACTCTTACTCTAGCTTCAATGAACTAATGAATTTTTGAATTACCTRTTTGGAAAAAATTCTAAAAAGAACCCCAAAAGAATTAAGTAATAATGATAGTAAAAGTAAACATATAATATATATTTTTCTAGAACCTATTACTTCAGCATTCCACTACCCTTGCTAATTAGGTTATCATGCAGACAGCTCTGGTTGGTTCTTGTATGGCTGAAAACTCCATACTTTTGGTACAAATATTAAAACAAAATATATCTCTTATGTCCCAAACAAATACACACTAGTTTTCTTAGTAAAGTTCTTACCCCAGTATTAAACATAATAATTTCATTCAGGGTGGAAGAATGTGCTCTCTCAACATTACTTGATATATTCTTATTCTGGCTCATGATGGAGATTTTGCTTTTCTGGGGGAAAGACTGTTTAGCTTGGATATGACTTTCTGAAACTTCCTTGTGACCAACCCTACATAAAAGAGAAAAAAAAACCAAAGATATTCATTTTCATCTTATTGTGGTTTGAATCTGGAATCTCTCCCAATGCCTTTTTTCCCTCTTTTCTTGTTTTGTTTTATTGATTTTATTTATTTTAATACATGACAGTGGGATGCACTACAGTTCTTATTACACATATAGAGTACATTTTTTCATATCTTTGTATTCACACCAATTCATGCCTTTATACATGTATTTCATTTTTTCACTACAATTCTTATTACACATATATACCAAAATTTTTCATATCCATTTATATATAAAGTATGTCGACACCCAATTCGAGTCTTCATAYATGTACTTTGGATAATGATGTCCATCACATTCCACCGTCCTTGTTAATCCCCTGCCCCTTCCCTTTACCTCCCACCCCTCTGCCCTATCTAGAATTCATCTATTCCTTCCATGCTCCCCCTCCCTACCTTACTGTAAGTCAGCCTCCTTATATCAGAGAAAACATTCAGCATTTGATTTTTGATTAACTTCACTTAGCATTATCTTCTCCAACGCCATCCATTTACCTACAAATGCCATGATTTTATTATCTTTTAATGCTGAGTAAAATTCCATTGGATATATATGCCACTTTTTTTWATCCATTCTTCCACTGAAGGGCATCTAGGTTGGCTCCATAGTTTAGCTATTGTGAATTGTGCTGCTATAAATATTGAAGTGGCTGTGTCCCTGTAGTGTGCTGTTTTTAAGTCCTTTGGGTATAGTCTGAAGAGAGGGATAGCTGGGTCAAATGGGGTTCCATTCCCAGATTTCCAAGAAATCTCTATACTGCTTTTCATATTTGCTGTTCCAATTTGCAGTACCACCAGCAATGTGTGAGTGTAACTTTTGCCCCACATCCTCACCAACACTTATTGTTGTTTGTTTTAATGATAGCTGCCATTCTGACTGAATGAGATGATATCTTAGAGTAGTTTTGATTTGCATTTCTCTGATTGCTAAAGATAATGAGCATTTTTCATATATTTTTTGATTGATTGTATATCCTCTTCTGAGAAGTGTCTGTTAAGGTCTTTGGCCCATTTGTTGATTGGGTTATTTATTGTTTTGGTTTAGCTTTTTGGGTTCTTTATATATCCTAGGGATTAGTGCTCTATCTGATGTGTGAGGGGTAAACATTTGCTCCCAGGATGTAGGCTCTCTGTTCTCATAGATTGTTTCCTTTGCTGAGAAGAAAATTTTTAGTTTGATTACATCCCATTTATTGATTCTTGGTTTTAATTCTTATACTATTGGAGTCTTATTAAGGAAGTTGGGGCCTAATCCTACATGATGAAAATTAGGGCCTACTTTTTCTTCTAGTAGATGCAGAGTCTCTGGTCTAACTTCTAGGTCCTTTATCCATTTTGAGTTAAGTTTTGTGCATGGTGAGAGATAGAGTTTTAATTTCATTTTGTTGCATATGGATTTCCAGTTTTCCCAGCAYCATTTGTTGAAGAGGCTATCTTTTCTCCAGTGCATGTTTTTGGCATCTTTGTCTAATGTAAGAAAATTGTAATTTTGTGGTTTAGTCTCTGTGTCCTCTATTCTGTACCATTGGTCTATCAGTCAGTTTTGGTGCCAATACCATGCTGTTTTTGTTACTATTGCTCTGTAGTATAGTTTAAGGTCTGGTACAGCAATGCTATCTGCTTCACTCTTCCTGCTAAGGATTGCTTTAGCTATTCTGGGTTTCTAATTTTTCCAGATGAATTTCATTATTGATTTTTCTATTTCTGTGAGGAATGACATTGGGATTTTGATCRGAATTGCATTAAATCTGTATAGTGTTTTTGGTAGTATGATCATTTTGATAATATTAATTCTGCCTATCCAAGAGAAAGGTAGATCTTTCCATCTTCTAAAGTCTTCTTTGATTTCTCTCTTTAGGGTTCTGTAGTTTTCATTGCATAGATCTTTCACCTCTTTCATTGAGAATTTTTGCATCTATGTTCATTAGAGATACTGGTCTACAGTTTTCTTTCTTTCATGTGTCTTTGCCTGGTTTTGGGATCAGGGTGATATTGGCCTCATAGAATGAGTTTGGAATTAATGCCTCCTTTTCTATTTCCTGAAATAAATTGAGGACTATTGGTATTAGTTCTTCTTTAAAGGTCTTGTAGAACTCAGCTGTGAATCCATCCGGTCGTGGGATTTTTTGGTTGGTAAGCTTATGATGGCCTCTTCTATTTCCTCACTTGATATTGATCTGTTTAAATTGTGTATATCTTTCTGACTCAACCTGGGCAAATCGTATGACTTAAGAAATTTGTTGATGCCTTCAATGTCTTCTATTTTATTGGAGTATAAGATTTCAAAACAATTTCTAATTATCCTCTGTATTTCTGTAGTGTCTTTGTGATATTCCATTTTTCATCATGTGTGCTGGTAATTTGAGTTCTCTTTCCTCTTCATTAGTGTAGGCTAAGGATTTGTCAATTTTATTTATTTTTTCAAAAAACCAAATTTTTGTTTTGTCAATTTTTCCAATTGTTTCTTTTGTTTTAATTTCATTGATTTCATCTCTAATTTTAATTATTTCTTGCCTTCTTCTGCTTTTGCTGCTGACTTGTTCTTTTTCTAGGGCTTTTAGATGTAGTGTGAGGTCATTTATTTGATGATTTTTTTCTTCCTTTAAGGAATGAACTCCATGCAATGAAYTTTCTTCTTAGTACTGCCTTCATAGTGTCCCAGCAATTTAGATATGTTGTGTCTGTAATCTCATTTACATCTAAAAATTTTTAAATCTCCTCCTTGATGTCTTCTGTAACCCACTGTAGATTCAGTAGCATATTGTTTAGTCTTCATGTGCTGCAGAAATTTTATTTTTTATTTTGTCACCAATTTCCAATTTTATTCCATTATAATCTGACAAAATGCATGGTAGTATCTCTATTTTTTTGTATTTGCTAAGATTTGCTTTATGGCGTAGTATATGGTCTATTTTAGAGAAGGATCCATGTGCTGCTGAGAAAAAAGTGTATCCACTTGATGCAGGTAGAAATATTCTATATATGTCAGTTAAGTCTAAGTTATTGTGTTATTGAGTTCTATAGTTTCTTTATTCAAATTTTGTTTGGAAGATCTATCCAGTGGTGAGAGAGGTGTGTTAAAAATCACCCAAGATTATTGTGCTGTGGTCAATTTGACTCTTGAACTTGAGAAGAGTTTGTTTGATGAACATAGCTGCGCCATTGTTTGGGGCATATATATTGATTATTGTTATGTCTTATTGGTGTATGGCTCCCTTGAGTAGTAAGTAATGTCCATATTTATCCCTTTTGATTAACTTTGTCTTGAAATCTACTTTATTTGATATAAGTATGGAAACCCCTGCTTGCTTCCTCAGTCCATGTGAGTGGTATGATTTTTCCCAACCTTTCACCTTCAGTCTGTGTATGTCTTTTCCTATAAGATGAATTTCCTGGAGGCAGCATATTGTTGGGTCTTTCTTTTAATCTAATCTTCTAGCCTATGTCTTTTATCGGTGACTTTAAGCAATTAACATTGAAGGTTACTATTGAGACATGGTTTGTATTTTCAGCTATATTTGTTTATTTTTCTTATTTAACTTGACTTGGTTTTCCTCTTTGATTAGATTTCCTTTAGTGTACTACCTCCCTCTGCTGGTTTTTATTGTTGTTTTTCCATTTTCTCTTCATGAAATATTTTTCCAAGAATGTTTTGTAGTGCCGGTTTTCTAGCTATAAATTCTTTTAACTTTTDTTTATCATGGAAGGTTTTTATTTCATCTTCAAATCTAAAGCTTAGTTTTGCTGGATACAAGATTCTTGGTTG